ATGGTGATTACTTGGTAGAATGATGGGGTGTTTCAGGTCGGAGTCGATCGGAGCATTACATATTCGCCCTCCTACTCGCAAAATTCCATCGATTATGACTGGGTTTAGCTTCTGCATGGACTTGCCTCGATTTTTGCAGCACAGATCATCTCCAAATTCCTGGTGCTGAACAAGCTTAATTATTTCCATTTCTGCCTGTTTTAGTTCCTTAATAGATATTTCTTAAATTTCAGCAGCCAAGCCAGTCCCTTCAGTAGCTTGGTCCAAGTTGAATACCTAAGTATTACATCCATCATTGTTGCTCGGCATGCTAAACTATGTACAGGTGGAGTTTTGAACTCAAGATCTTTGTTATCGATGCTCACTGGCATAATTGGCCACTCTGTGTCTGCCTTCCACAGAAATTCAGGACCTCTAAGCCACATGCAATCCTCAGTGATCTCGCAAGCATGAATTCCTCTTGATCCCTCATCTGCAAGGTTTGACTTTGTGTCTACGTATCGCCATTGCGAAGGATCCGATACAGCATGAATCTTTTCTATTCTGTTTGCCACAAATGTGTGAAAGCGTCTTGATTCGTTTCGAATGTATTGTAACACAGATGTTGAGTCAGTCCAAAATGTCACTCCTTTTACGGGTATCTCAAGTTCCTTTCTAATCGTTTGGCTAACTGCGCACGCTAGTACAGCTGCCGACAATTCCAGACGAGGAATAGTCATAACCTTCAATGGACTTAGTCTAGTTTTCCCCAACACAAAGGCACAGTGAGTATTCCCTTGGCAAGTAGATCGCAAGTATGCCACTGCAGCATATCCTCGTTGTGAAGCATCACAAAATACATGAAGATCATGCTTATGCTCTCCTACGGTCGGTCTCAAGCATCTGTTTATAGAGACATTCCTTAACTGTGGCAGTTCTTCTAACCAATGGGTCCATCTACTCAAATCCTGCGAGCTTACTTCTTGGTCCCACCCTAAACCTTGTGTACAGATATCTTGCAGCAACATTTTCGCGACAAGGATAAATGGGGCCACAAATCCCAAAGGATCGTACACAGAACTTGTTGTAGAAAGGATACCTCTTCTCGTGTTTGGCCTTTCTTTAACCTTGATGTTGAATGTGAATTTATCAGTTTCCACGTTCCATAAAACACCTAGTGTTCGCTCAACTGGTAGCTCCTGTAAGTCCAAGTTAAATACTGTTGCTGCTCTTTCTGACTTGGGTATCTTTTCTAGAACCTGACGATCGTTGCTAAGCCATTTAGTCAATCTGAATCCTCCCTTAGCTAAGAGTTCCCTTAGCTGACTAGACAGTTCAATAGCCTCCTCAGTAGTTTTAACCGATTTTAAACAATCGTCAACGTAAAAGTTATTTCTTACAGTTTCTACTGCTGCAACGTTATGTTCCGATTCATTGTCAGCTGCTGTTCTCCGCAACGCATATCCTGCACAACTTGGTGAGGATGTGGCACCAAACAGATGTACCAGCATCCGATACACTTTGGGCTCTTCCGTGAAGTTTTAATTCGGCCACTAAAGAAATTGAAGAGCGCCACAGTCTTCAGGGGACACCTTTACCTGATGAAACATAGATTGTATATCAGCGACTAGCGCTACTTTATCTTGACGAAATCTGGTTAAAACCCCTACCAGGTTATTTGTGAAATCTGGACCCCTCAATAGTTGACTGTTGAGTGATACACCTTTATATTTGGTGGCACAGTCGAACACTATCCGAACTTTGCCAGGCTTATGTTGATTTATCACAGGGTGATGAGGTAGAAACCATGTCTTGTTTGACATTATTTCTTTCCTTTCTACAACAGGTTGCTTGGCCTTCACTTCCTCTGCAAACCCATTATCCTGTCTCTTATACACATCTAGATGTGTATAAGAGACAGTCTCCGTACAATTTGTAGCCTCTCCCTAGGGTTAGCTTTACCGAACACATCACACTTCTCAAGTTGGTGTTCTCCCAAACAAGCTGGACATTTCGCAGTTGAAGTATCTTGCTTGCGCATGTCTTCTCCCCTGACAGCAAAAGTTGATCTCGCAGACTTACTCTTAATGGGTTGCACTTGCTCTCGCCTAGGAGACTTCCCTATGTTTTGGCCAAACATGTTATTTGCCAATCTAGCTGCTTCTTCGATAAAGGTTGTCATGCCTTTGAAGTCAGGTGCCATTTTTGCTTCCATAACCGATTGAGCTTTCTTAGCCCATTTCGTCTGGAGGTGTAGTGGTAGTAGTTGTTGTACTTTGAGAAGGGTGTCAGAACTATTCATATCTGCATTTGTTCAAGCACAGTTTGGCATCTTCTCATATCTCTGCCTAAGTCCCACATTCCAGTACCATCATTAGGTCTAATTTGGGGTCGGTTAAATGGGCCCTTGCAATCAGATGTGGCTGTCCAAACTGTTCCTTCAGGATTAGCTTGGCCTGTGCGTACCCCTGCGACGCCTCGAGTAGCACACAATTTTCAATGCTACTCTTAGCTTTACCTGTACAGAACTGAATAAGATAGGTTAGTCGGGCCCTGTCATCAGTGGCCCTACGTGCAATATTAACATCAAATGCATTTGTAAAATTCCAGTATTCAAATGCATTACCATCAAATGAAATTATTTCTGGTTTAGGCATATTAACACTAAGCCCCAAGGTTTGCAACACTTGTGTCAAACCAGACTCTTTATCAACAGTATTAACATATTCATTTTTAGTATCATTTACAATTTCTATCTGAGGCAATTCCACAGGGATTACATTAACATCATTTGTGTTACTAACATTTTGATACATAGGTCTATTAGACATATCTTCACCTGTTATTTGAGGTGGAAAAGCAATTTCATCATCGCTGTTAACACATACATCATCTATTTCATTTTCAATTTCCTCCCCCCACAATTGACATTCGGCTTCAGCCTGTTCTACTTCATTTTTGGCCTCTACAGCAGCCATTTGCTGCTCTAATTTTACCTTCTGTAAAGTCATTTCATGGGACCTGGCCAGTTGCTGCACTTTGAGCATTGCCATCTGTGTCCTCACTCTGGCTTCTTGTAACTTCACTGTAGCAATACTTGAGCGCCTCGATGTTTTACTGGTTACCGATGTTGCACTGTTTCTCCTGGATCTTACACTTACTGGGCTTAATGATAGTTCCTTTTTCAGTTTTCTTTCATTTGGCCTTGCACCCGAACTGATTGGCCTTGATGCTCCATCAATTTCATGTTCAGAGTTCGTTGACTGCCTTGATGTATGCCTATCATCACTTTCTAGGTCACTAGTAGGAGTCGTTTGTAGCTCCTTTGCCGCTGCGTTCACCCACTCTCTTACACGTTGATCATTGTCCTCCATCCTCGTAGATTTCACCCAAACAGTATCCGTATAAGAGGTGAACTCAGTTGTGAACTTATGTAGCCTCGCCTCGCGTGACTACAGGGGTTGTACACGTTCGAACAGACTCACAATTCGTAACAACTTGGTTTTTGTAGTTTTTAATCATGAAGTCGTTCACTGAAATAATCAATAACAATGAATCAAATATAATCAGCTCAAATAATAACACTAATTAATAATATTTCATAGATAGTCACATCGTATTCATTTCGAATTACAGTACACCTAAGCGTAGAGTATATTATTATAAACAGTATACCCAATAACATAACAATAGCACTTTATAGTATAAATCGTAAACAAATCGCGTAACATACGCGTTGCCGCCAACAACGACGCCACTCTACTACACGCGCGAGCATCTAGCTCGCAAACTTACAGCCACTGTACTGTATGCATAACATAAACGTAGGATAGGCCTAGCCTATACCGTCAAATAAACATTACTCTTTCTGATAAAAAAATAAAGTTTAGACTAAATTAATGCAATCATGTAATGCCTAAAATTATAAGTTATAGTATTGTACGGTAAACATTTCTTGATATCTCTTACCAACTGTTGTTCAACCCGAACTTTGTATCAATTTACCGAGACAGCACCTATCGAAGCCTCGCTCCGCCGTCTGCCTGACGTCAAGTGACGCTCACAAATAAACTTTACTCAAAACTGAGGGCGTCCTCTTAAAGAAATTATAAATAGCCGCTACAATTAGTCTATTTGTTTTCTAATTTGAATAATGAATTTTTAAAACATTTTTGTCTATTTTAAAAAAAGTGCGTAAGTTATGGAGATGGTAACAATCAAAAATCGAT